CAGTTTGAACAGGTTTGAGAACAGGATATTGAAGAGGATATTTGGACTGAAGAGAGATGAAGTGACAGGAGGTTGGAGANCTGGAGCTGAGTGGTCAGCTTCATGCCCTTGCCGCTTTACAGGAGGTTGCAGAAAACTGCATAATGAGGAACTTCATAACTTGTACTCTTCTCCAAGTATAATTAGAACGATCAAGTCAAGGAGGATGAGGTGGGCAGGACATGTAGCACGAATGGGGGAGAAGAGGAATGCATGTAGGATATTGGTGGCAAAGCCAGAAGGAAAGAGACCACTGGGAAGACCAAGGCGTAGGTGGGCGGACAATATTAAAATTGTTGTTAGAAAGATAGAATGGGATGGTATTGATTGGATTGATCTGGCTCCGGATATGGACCCGTGGAGGGCTCTTGTGAACATGGTAATAAACCTTCGGTTTCCATATAATTCTGGGAAGTTTTTGAGTAGCTGCAAATTTGGCTTCTCCCCAAGAAGGACTCATCTCCATAATAACATAATATCTTCTGGTGATCTCTGTTTTCGAATACAGACCCTCTGAAATTAGTTTGGTTAAATTTGAAGGGAGCTTCTGTAACATCATTTTTTTAATATCATTGTCCCATCTCCTTCTGGGTCCTCTAAGCTGTAGATTTTCAAAAGGCTTTCCTGACAAAGATCTATATGTAATACTCATGTCCTGCAGTTTGAGTCCATATCTCACTTCCGTATTCTAACAGTAGTATTTATCTTGTAAATAGCTCCATGAAATAGATTCCTTCTTGAGAAGCTAATCATCTCGCAAGCGGTAAAGAAAATGCCCGGCCTTTTGTGGAATTCGAAGATTTATCACGACGTTCACAAGGGTCCGCCCCTAGGCCCTATACTGAGAGATTCCAAATCCTCAAGCTGCATAAAACACTTGATATCTCGCCATGCAATATTCCAAACTGGCCACTTCATCATGTTAAGCGTAGGGAATACAGGGCGTCCCAGGAGGAAAGATCAATATTGTGGGAGGTCATAATATCGGTCATTCTGAGCAGAAATTGTAAAAAAAAAAGTAAAGGTATCCCTGTAACAGGCATTGGAGGCCAATAGGATTGTGAGATGTTGAGGTTCCCACATTTTCTAGACAATCGGCTCATAGATGGCGGCAAGATTGTCAGACTTACGGGCTGGCCACCCTTTACCCCCAAGAATATTCCTGGTGCTTATTTCTGTTAGAGGCTGTGTCGACCCCAGAGTCATAGTGCGGCTGGAAGGATTAGGTCAAGTGAAAAATCCAGTGACCTCAACGGGACATTTACCCGCGACCTTCCGGCTTGTAGCATAGTGCCTCAACCAACTACGCTACCGCGTGCCCCCAAGCATAAAGTGTATACGCGTATGTGCATGTGTCCTATTCCGAAACCTTTCCGGGATAGTGCTATTTCACTGCACAGTAGTTTGTATTTGGCGCTCAATATTGTCCTTCCATTTCACTTGCGAATCGGTGTGAAGCGTCAGTTGGCCGTTGTGACTGTTGATAGTGACATTGTAGGAGTGTTATGAAAAATGGCGCACAGTTTCACAAATGCCGAATAATATGATATGCTATATGCTGTACTCACATGATTTGCAAAGTGCATCGATGTTGAAGGTGGAATTTTCGAAACTGTCTTATACTAGGTAAACTGTACCAACTTTATCACTTGAACAATAAATACCGGTATTAGAAACAATACGTAATATCTCTTTCTTATCAACAGTTTTGGAACGGTAGAGTGAAATAAGTCTCCTTCAGAAACCGTTCGGAATAGGACACATGTACATATACAATTTTTGCTTAAAATGACCGATACCCTTTATATTGAATAAACACTTCCGGACGGAGATCTTTCACGATGATGGTTCAGTACATAGCTAACAACCCTTCAGCGCAAGAAGGGTTACAATACAGGTGTCGCAGTCGGAAGCTTACAACCTTATCGGTCATGAATTTTCAGTAGTCTGCTTTATTTAACTGAGGATGTCAATTTGACCGCCATTCACAGTAATTCTCCATATTGATACTGTATAGCCATTACAAATGACCGCTTCTGTGATCTAGTGGTCAGAGTTCCTGACTACAGATCCAGAGCTCCCGGATTCGATTCCTGGCGCTACAAGATTTTCTGAGAAGTAGTTGGTCTGGAACGGGGTCTGCTCAGCCTCATCAGGATAATTAAAGAGCTCTTTGAAGGAATAGCGGCTCCGGTCTAGAAACCCGAAATTAACGGCCATGGGGTTCCGTTGCGTTGACCACGTGACACCCTCTATCCGCTAAAGTTGGCACTAACTTCGCCGACAAGCGGCGGTCGCTCGGTCGGTATAGTTAGCTTGCGGAGTACAGGCCACGGATTTCTATAGCCATTACAAAATTCAAAATACATCATTTGTTCATAAAAATCTGTTAGTAAATCAGTCGGTCAAGAGACTCGATACTTTTATGTAACTTGAAAATTCATTGCCGCTTTCACACAAGCCTACTAGTCGACTCAGTGTTTAGCCAGCTCATCGCAATCCATGCCTTCACTTCCTACGGAGTTAAACTTGCCGGAAGAATGTTGGACAGACAGTGTTTTGTTAAGAGTGAAAATCATCGATCATTACTACGTCTGTGTTATCGCCCTTATTATTATGGTTATAATAATGGATCAATGTCCTCTGCTATGGGAATTTCTTTATTCCAATTAACTGAATATTCCCATGAAGTTGAGTCTATCTTGAGGAGCCAATTGTAGCTAAAGAAGTCAAGAAATTCCCTGTCTTCTCTGGAATTGAAATTTCAGTTATTATCTTCACAACAGCCCGTCATCTGTCCCTATCCTGAGTTAATTAATCCACACCATGCCCGCCCATCCTCCATTAAGAATCATTTTAACATTACCTTCCCATCTACAGTTACGTCTTCCAAGTTGTCACTTCCCTTCAGTTTTTTCGTCTCTCCTTTTCGTTTTGATAGTTACTATAGTTACTGAAGTTCGGCATTATGTTCAGCTGTCAAAATCCTTCCTTATTTCAGTTAGAATGAACAGGATTGTTGACCTCAGGGTCCTACATGAACGGTTCAGTTGACAAATCACGGCTAATAAACTAAAAATAGCTTCTGTACTCTATAACATCCAAATGACGAGTGAAGCCTGGAACTTAACGAGCGAGATGTGAAAATGTGTTTCCTGGTCAGGGCTGTCATACACCTCATCGGACGGTAATAAACTGGTGCGGTGATATTATGCAATGGAACTTGGAAGGAAAAATATTTTTCTCAAATAAATCCTGTGGCGTTGTTGCCCAGTAAGTGGACATAACTCTATATTGTGTTGTGTACTTACTCTTACTGTACTTACCGAATATTTGGCCATGGTAATTCTGCTCTTGTCAGTTGATCTTGACAATGGACTTGACAGTTACAAACTGATAGGTAAATAGCCCTTCCAGTATATATACATCTTTCCACCAGAACTACTTAATGGAGGAGGGGAGAACTAGCCAATGGTTTAGTAGCAGGAAAGAAGTCGTGACAGATTCACAAGGAAATAATACGCGATTGTTCTTACGTTGACGTCCTGAATTTACGCATATGTGTTAATCGCAGGCGGTAGGTTATGTGATTCCCCGTAGAAGTCGTGTTTTTTTTAATATCCTGATTTCAGCTACTGTGGCTTGTTACCGATCTGTTTCCGAGAATGCTGTCCAACAACATTCCATATATTGTACTGTCCTTGCTTCTGCCATCCCACCTGCATCATCAGCCAATCATAACTCTTCAAATTTACAAATAGAAAAATTCAGTAACACTGGTAGATTCAAAATGGTTCTGACGATAGTTTTCTGCAATTAATATTACAGCATTCCTGGACATTGTCCAACTTTATGGTGTTCCAAGAACAGTTTATAATATCAAATAATGAAAAACAAGTTGCTAATAATAATAAACGTGGTACGACCAGTATATTGTATTAAGAGGTTTGAATAAAAGAGTGTCTATATTTTGCAGTGAAAAAGTTTATTCTTGTCATAATTTTTGCCTACCTAAACATTCATGGCATGTTAGTTATAAATGGATATAGAACTTAAACAAATAAGAGTACTGATTTGAAAAATGCTTTTGTTTCTCAACATAATTTCCATGTACTTTGAGGCACTTGTCCCATCTTTTCACAAGCCCCTGAAAACCAGCAGCATAAAATTCTTTGGGCTGCTGTCGGAACCAGGCGGTGACTTCCCTTTCTACAGCTTCATCGTCGGTAAAATGTTCAGCCGAAAGATGTTTAAGAGAGCCGAATAAATGGAAGTCGCTTGGAGCAAGGTCGGGCCAATACTGAGAATGCTTGAGGACTTCCCATTTTAAATTTCGCAGCGTCTCATTTGTCTTGTTGGCAGTATGAGGACGCGCGTTGTCATGCAAGAGCAACACGCCTGGTTTAGACAGCAAATAAAATAAAAGCATTTTTCAAATCAGTACTCTAATTTGTTTAAGTTCTGTATCCATTTATAACTTACTTATTGACTTACTCTCGTATGTGTGGGTATGCTACACCTGCTACAAAAACGAAGTTGCATCATCGTCACCTAGTGACGTAGACCGTTACGTCATTATCAGAAATTACTAGATTTTATATCCAACATTCTTCCAGTGTCCATAAGCCGGTGGGATATGCAAACATATTGTGGCAGTAGGCAGGCAATGACGCGAGCAGAAGACATTGATAAGAACCGTTACCAGGCAACGACTTGTGAAGAGATAGAAGACAGCGTGTGTTTTAGTCAAAAGGAAAGTGCGCGAATTAATGAGAGAGTTATAAATACGTGCAGTTACGATTTATGTGTGTTCAGTAAGTCAAATTACCAATTCAAACCCCGTGTCAAGTCTCTAACACGTGACAGTATTCATACAAGACTTACCTACACAAGGCTTGAAGCACCTTGGCTCCTAGAGTGGATGGACTTTACGTCAGTCAGTGACCGGACAATGACGCATCTGATTTGTATTCGGAAACAGCCTGATTCGTATCTTGGCCGGGAAACAGACTATTTATGTGACATTCCTCATTCAAATTAGAGAAATAATTGTATTAGAAGGCAAAATGGAAAAGTTAAATATATCCCTGTAACAGGCCGTGGAGGCCCATAGGGTTGTGAGGCGTCGAGACTCCCACATTTTCTAGACAATCGGCTCATAGATAGCGGTGAGGTTGTCTACCTTACTTGTAGGCCACCCATTAATCACAGAAAAATTCCTGATACTCATTTCTGTTAGAGGCTGAGTCGACCCCACGACCAAAGTGTAGCTGGAAGGATTATGTGAATTGAAAAATATCCAATACCTCATCGGGAGTCGAATTCGAGATCTTCCGGCTTGTAGCATAGTGCCCCAACAAATTATAATGACATCTATGTTAAAACAGTCCAAAGTTAATTACTGCTAATTATGATTTTGTATTGATTACTAGAAGAGAAGTTAATGGCCCAAAGTTACACAAATTTAATCCATCAGTTATGTATGGTTATTCTAGAATGATATTCGATGTTCATGAATTTGATAGAGCGCCGTGAAATAACTCGTATATAGAGTAGCTTCTGTAGAACCCAAAGCATCAGCATAACAGATCTTATGTTTGATAGATGTATATAATGGAAAGTTTGAAGAAATACAGGCTTACGTTTGTCGTTTGGCAGCCATTTCTAATGAGGAGCCTGCGGAATTTTCCAGCGACTCATCAGTCAATAGCATCTGAATATTTCTGAACATCTGTGGCTTTCTTCGAATAACTTCGAAACCGGTAAATCCCTGATAGCTATGCTAACTTCAGGCTGTGAAATTGGACCGTTGAGCGACCAAGGGTAACGGTAAGCCCCGACCTAGACTTGTTAAGTAGCAAAACCAATATACAAAAAGAAAAGTGACGAAATCATTACTGTTAACATACCTGACCTTCCTGTTCAAGTGAATGTCTTCAGTCTGAAAACTGAAAAATAGAAATTCTGGGTACAGTCATAAAATAACAAGTTATGTTTGAAGTTCTCTCTGCAATGAGTGAAAAGATTGAGGTCTTGTGGGATGTGGCGCCTTATAATTCAGTAGGCAGGTACAAATGTTTCGGAGGAATCTGCCACCTCCATCTTCAGGGTAGAAGATGGAAACAGCAGATCCCTTCGAAAATTTATGCCAAGTCGCATCCACGGATTTCAATAGAATATATTCCGAATAAGCTGATCACGGTGGCCACGCGGTCGAAAGCATGAAATGTCTTCGCTCGCTCGAACGCAGGGATAGTGGGTTCGAATTCCGCTTGAGGCATGGATGTCTGTGTATATTTATTCTGTGTGCAGGTAGCGGCCTTGCGACGGGCTGATCCCAAGTCCAAGGAGTCCTACCGACTGTGTATAGGATTAAGAATCTGAAAATGCGGCCAAAGTCCAACAAAGGGCTGTAGAGCCATAGGTAGGTAGGTAGGTAGGTAGGTAGATGTTCCGAATATTAACAAATTCGAGTTTGTAGTCCTAAAATCGAATTTATTCATAGTAAGATTATGGTTTGACGTACAATTCAATGGTTTCATGAAAATGCAAGAAATATACAAAATTTGTTAATGCGCATTTTTTCATTTTACTGATGTCACGCTGTGCCTTGAATATCCTCTTAAAAAGACCAGGGTTAAAGGATGCTGTCATATTTAGAAAATTCTGTGCTCAACGTATAGTTCCTTAGCCGTAACATTTATAAAGACTGGTACAACCGGACAGCTATACTCATCACGGAGGCTAGTTTTATTCCCGGCTGAGTTCATGTGAGATTCGTGGTGGACAAAACGGTACTGGAGCCGGGCTCTCTGCTAAGTTTTTCGCCACTCCCCATCTAATCTCCATTCCATCATTGTTCCATGTTCATCTGTTTCCGCCCCACCCCCTGTGCTATGCGATAGCTCATACAGGGCAGCACATTGAACACGTCTTCAATGTTTATGTTGGGGCTTCATCTCTGAGTCAGCTCTTGGCTGCTTACAGAGTGAAGTTAAGTTGCAGTCTATTAAATTATGCATTCCTCATGATCGAACTGAAAAACTATAGCTTTTCTTTGTACTTACTGATGTAATTTGGGACCGCGCCATAGCTGAAGCGGTTAGTCTCTGGCTTCCCACTGCGGCGGCCTGGGTTCGATCCCGGGTCTGTGTCATGTGGGATTTGTGGTGGACAAAGTGGCGCTGGGGCAGGTTTTCTCCGAGTACTTCGGTTTCCCCTGCCAATCTTCATTCCACCAATTGCTCTACAATCACCCTCACCTATCATCTGGGGCTGGTACAATAGGACAGAAGTGGCCGCAGTACAAGGGGCTTAGTCCCACCCCACTAGCAAAAATAATATTGATGTACCTTTAAAATGTGACTTTCTACACCCATTGTGTTTCTTCTTAAATGTTCTTAAACCTTCCAGGAAAAGGATATGAGAAGGAGTTGTAAAACGAATTGAAAAATATGTATTTTTTTGTTAATATTTATTTTACTTCGAACTTGAGACCGAAGAGTTAAAGAACAATCTTAACAAACGATCTTAAATTAGTATAATTTGACTTCAATAAAAACACAATGGTGTAACTATTCTGGCGCTGAGTATCTCTAGTTGCTGTCGAGTCATGATGTATGCAACAGTCCAGATCTTCTCAGTGAGGATGTGGATGAGGGTGATCATGCTGATGATCGTGATCGTGAGCGTGGGAGTGTATATGACCGTGATCGTGACTGCCATGATGATCGTGGCCAGCTGCTTGACCGTTGGCTGCTGTTGCTGATGTGTCTCTGGAGTGCCCAGTATCCTTATGACCCGGTTCGTGATGAGGTGTGGTAACACAGAGGGTCACCAACCCCATAGCGACCAGAAATATCTGCGAACACACACCACTGCATTATTCCTTTGTAGCATGAATTTTATCTAAATAATATTTAAAATCTCAGTTCGTATTTCATGAGAAACACAATGCTTCTGCTTTATAGATATCAATTGGTTAATATTGTTTAGTTAAATCTTTCTCTTTTATACATAATAGTTTTAAAGTCACACTTTCTTTACAAAACGCAGATAATTTGGAAGCAGGTGGTACATAGTGATTAGAAAATACCATAAATTAAAATTCTAATTAATCTGCATAAACACTTCTTCAAAGCTGAAAGGCCACCAGCCAGTCAAGAAATTATCCGCTTTTATGAAAATCGAAGAAATTACTGTGTTCAGAAGTACCGGTACTGGATGCTGTCCTCTGACAGACGAATCTAGTTTACATCATATTTACACAAGACTTGTTCTGCTAATATGCTCACACCTACACTTAATCCTTCCTAAAGTTGGCAGATATTTTATGCTTGAGATTTCCCATCCAAAACGTTTTATATCCTTGTTTCCCTAACCACTACTCAACTCATATGCGTAAAATATCGAAATATTCAATATATAGACGTATGCTGGCTAGAAATTATTAAAGCTCACTTTGAAATAAATGGGCTGCAAGATGTATTCTATCAACAGATGTGTCTGTTGTGTTCTCTAGACATTAGCTGTTGCGAGAGATTAGAGAACAGGCGAACCTCGGACATCTTAGAGACTCGTTAAACCATACGTTGTCACCAATTTGTGGAATGAAGATTGGCAAGGGAAACCGAAGTACTCGGAGAAAACCTGCCCCAGCGCCACTTTGTCCACCACAAATCCCACTTGACCAGACCCGGGATCAAACCCGGGCCGCCGCGGTGGAAAGCCAGCGACTAACCGCTTGAGCTATGGTGCGGCCCATCCCAGTGCTCAAGCGGGCAAAGACTTTTCATGCCTTAGATTACGCGGCCACTCTCATCGCCGAAGTTTGCTTATTAATTTCTAAAGCGAAGTTACTACTTTTGAAGATTAGGAACGAGTGTTCGTATACATGAGCGCTGTATATTATATGGGCCATCGGTGTGTCAGACTTCCAACAAACGTCCCTGTCATTTTAAAGGACGGACGGAGAGAAGGCGTAATGTTTTGTGCCGAAAAAGTAGTCCATAAATATGTATATGGGTCTTATAGATAATCCTCTACGAATTTTTAACCTGGAAATTGTATCCAAGCGAATAATCACTTTCAGGCCTCAGTCGCTTTATCTCTGAGGAAAGAATATTCGACATCCTTTGAATACTATGGTGAGTGAACTCTGAAGCCAGAAGTAGAATGGAAAAAACGTGCCAAGAAATATACTTTGCCATCAGCCATTCCGATAAAATATTTCTCTGGAGAATATTTAGTGAATTATTTAACTACGTTCTAAGTATCTAGAGTGCATAGCGTCGGTCCACAGGAAAGAGAATTCTTATTAATGTAAACAAACAGGATTTTCAGACTTCCTCTTAAAATCCCAATAAAACTGAGCTGCGTAGCATTGGATTGGAACTAAAAACAACATTCTTCATCCGAAACACTCCCAGGATAAGCTGCGCGAGGTCGTCTAGCGGTTGGATACAGTGTCACGCGCACTGAATGCTGAGTGCTGTGTCCACTTCCTTGTCGAATCTATTATTGTGGAAACTGAAACGCTAGATTGAAAGTAGGATCTGACGTTCTCACAGCAGTCGTTACGAATATGTAACGCCATGTAGTCCGTTGAATGTCAACCGACGTTTCGGAAGAATGCAATCGCCTCTATCTTCAGAATCGAAGAATAAGCTGGGCAAGATACCAGCGTGAAAGTAAATGGCAAGCAGATTTCGGCTTTTTCTTCGACTCTGAAGGTGCAGTCGGCGTATTCCGCCGAAACTTTGGTTTGCTCTCAGCGGGCTACACAGGTAGAACTCTAAATCGAAAGGTTCTCTACATGAACTAGCACGTGATTTAGTACCACATTGATTCGTTGATTGTTTAAGAATGTTATATCAGCCAATGATCGACAATAAAAGTAATAATGTCCTTTTGCTTAATTAAGACATATGGGGAGTGGAAGTGTAGCTCCACATATTCTTGATCTCGGCACTAGATGGAGGCGAGTGGTCAACTTCACGTCCCTGCCGCTTTGCTCGTCACGGTGAACTCCTCTGGATAGAAGACTGAGTAAACCACAAAGCCTGTCTGGACGCGGTGACGAAGAGAAGGTTTTGTGTTGGATTTGAGATTCGCTGTACCGCCCTTTGATTTAGGGAGAGCCCGACGTCTCGGAGGCGATCTGCTGCTTAGAAACGTCGGGCTGCATCCAAAATTCTTGGTGTTACAATCCAGAAGACCGCAGTCTTCAGAAATGTTTATACTCCTACCAGGAATGGGACCCGGTCCTCCGAGCTGTAGCATAATCATTATGTCGGCTGTCTCTGAGGGCTGGAACACACACAGCGATATCGGTCGTACGACGTCCGTATGGTTCATGTCGCATCAAGTAATAGAATATAAAGTGTAGTCTTAGCGTTCATACGTGACGACATGCGACATCTACCGTACGGCAGTCGGAGAACAAAGAAATGTATCTGGTCGCTCTAGTGTGAAAAGAAGGTCGTACGGCAAAAGATCGTACGACATTTTTCCATACGACCGATGTCGCTGTGTGTGTTCCAGTCCTAAGGGTCGATAACTGTTAAGGTAAATGTTTGAGTTTAGTGATTAACGACAAAAAGTAACATTCCCGGCTGCAGCTGTAGAAAAGCGTGAGCCAGGCTGAGTAAACGTTCTATTTTCCTGCTTTTAAAACACCTTCTTTGTGCTCTGTGCCGTCTGTCACTGTCTTTAGAGACCCTGAATGCACCTTGTGTCTGTCGTTTTTACTGAATCAGGTGAAGGGGTGATGTTTTAGGAAGGGGAGTTAAGAGCACTGCGATAAAGGGGAAGGGAGATAGAAGGTAGGAAGAAGAGATGAAGAAGAGGAATATTAGTTGTAATAATGGTATTAGCAGCAGCAGCAGTAGTAATAGTAGTAGTAGTCATGGCACCAGCAGTACTCAGAGGAAAACCTTCCCCCATGTCACTTCGTCCGTCACAAATCCTACATGACCAGACCTGGGACTGGACCCGGGCCGCCGCGGTTGGAATCCGGGGCCTGAACTCCTGTGCCATGGCACGATCGACTCACCTCTCAAGCGGCAAGCACTCGCCGTGAGCATGCGCACTGGTGTAGCCAGTTACAATTTCAGAATACACTGAAGCTACTCCAGCAAACATCCCGATTAAAGAAGTGTAAACTTACCAGGATTTTTGGCATGATGTAATCTGAAGGAAGAAGATGATATACTCTTCAGCAGATGTTGGTAATATACCAACTCCTTCCTACAAGCGGACTATTTATATACTGTACACATATTCAATTTAAGAAGAATGTTGTTATGCAATGAAAAAACTTGTGGAATATGGCTTCTCAGAAGGTGTTCTAGGACAAAGATGTATATTATAATTTGATTAACTCGAGGCCAGCGAGATACAGTAATTAAGCTATACGGCATAGAACGTTACAGACATAATGATTTTCTCTGCGCAAGAATAAACCCTCAGCGCTGCATCTTCTCTGAGCAGTCGAGCTTCTGTTTGTTAATATCCAAATTTTGATATTACGACTCTCTACAATACCCTGAGGCAGGATATCGTAACATTTGTTTCTAATACGGGCTCTGAAAAATAATAAAAAAAAGCAATTAATGTCATGCATTCTCATAGATAAAATAAAGGTAAATCTATCCCTGTAAGAGGCCGTGAAGGCTCATAAGGTTGTGAGACGTCGAGGCTCCCACATTTTCTAGACAATAGGTTCATAGTTGGCTGTAAGATTTTCAACCTTACGCGCTGGCCACCATTTATCCCCAGGAAGATCCTTGGTACTTGTTGCTGTTAGAGGCTGAGTCGAACCCAGGGCCATATTGCAGTTGGAAGGGTTAGGTAAATTGAAATAAAATCCCATGACCTAACGGGGAATCGAACCAGCAACTTTCCGGCTTGTAGCGTAGTGCCTCAACCAACTACGCTACCGGGTTACCCCCTTATATTCTCATATCTTATTTATTTATTTGTGATTTATGCAATGCCTGTGTGAATGTGAGGCTATAGCTTGTTTAAGATTAAGTCACGTGGTCAGTACTTTATGGAACCAAGTGACTATTTTGACGCCCCCACGTCCAAAGTCCTGCGCTTCATCCGAAGCGCGGGGTTGCTGAGGGAATAATTAAAAAATGGGAAGCAGAATAGACCTAAAGTCGCGGTGCAAGGGCCGAGAAGGCCTACCCCTCATATATTCTATTCTATTCTATGCAATGCCTCTGGGTGCAGTAAATATATAGACTAAGATACGGATTTGTAACGGGGAATCGGGGATCTGTTCCAGGCAGGAGCAAGAAATTTTTATGCAACACAATTGTAGAGTTCAAACCGGCTCTGCCTTCCATCAGACTTCCTGTCTGATGGATAGTAACGAGGGTTCTTTCTCCGGGTAAAGTAGCCGTAGCAAGGAGCTCACTGTTCAACTTCATCTAGCTCCGAGTTTAAGAATGCTCCACTCCCCCACTCATTTTCATGGCGTGATGTTCAGTTAGGCTAAGTCTCTTACAAGAGACTTTTTAGGCCTGAAACTCCGCCACTTATTGCATATTATTTTAACCTAAATTAACATTATATTTTAAGATATACAGTAAACACTCGCTAATACGGAATAATGGGGGTGAGGGAGGTCATCTGGATTGAGAAATAATCCGGATTAATGAAGCAGAAATAGCCCTAAGGGACAAGAAAACTTAGAACAAAAATAAACGAAAAATTTAATGATATAAGAAATGCTGATGAAAATAGATACAAATATCACTGCAGAACATTTATTTAAAATTAAGAAGGACAATACATTTATTCGTTTTTAGAAGACTCGAAGCTGTACTTCCTTTTGAACGTAATAATGCAGGTGTGAAAAAAAAAATAAATTGTATAAAGTTTTGTCTGCACAGACAAGCGACTCATCTATGTTCCTAAAAGCCATTTCTCTTAAAGTATGTATTCAGCTACGCGTATAAACGGGGGGCACGCGGTAGCGTAGTTGATTGATGCACTATGCTGCAAGCCGGAAGGTCGCGAGTTCGATTCCCAATGAGGTTAAATTTTTCAATTGACCTCATCCTAACAGTCGCACTATGGCCCTGGGGTCGACTCAGCCTCTAACAGAAATGAGTACCAGGAATTTTCCTAGGGGTAAATGGAGGTCTGTACATAAGGCTGAAATCTTCACCATCTGTGAGCCGATTGTCTAGAAAATGTGGAAGTATCGACGGATCACAACCCTATGGGCCTCCACGGCATTTTACAGGGATAGCTTTACTTTTTTTACTCAACTGAAAAAGGTAAAGTTGTCCCTGTGCTTAACTAATTAAGCACTACTCCATGAAGGCGTGTGTTGAAGTGGATGTATAGATCCATATTTTCTTGATCTCCGCACTAGTTATACGTGTGTGGTTAGCTTCCCGCCCCGGCCGCTTTACCCCCGAGGATAGAGCCCCCGGTACCCATTCTATAGGAGGTTGGGTACACCCCAGAGTCGATCTGGACGACATAAAGAAATGAAAATTCTTGCCCCACTGGGACTTGAACTCCGATTCCTTTGTCCTCCAGCCCGTAGTCAATCGCTATATCGACTAAGCTATCCCGACTCCCACTCAAGTACGAACAGTATTTTGTATTTTACTTATTTCGATCCGGATTAATTGTAACAGGGTTAGGAGAAGTTTGCTGTATAAACCTTAAGCAGTCATAACAACATTTAGCAGCAGTATAAATGGCTGAGAATGTGAAGATCGTTTCAAGTTACACATTAGTGAGGCTGATATTTTACATTGAGAATGAAGAATTGAGGAAAATAGACCGGGAAAACATGTTTTTAATAGCTAGCTGCGTCTGTTGTCGTTTGGACGTAGGCCAAGTCACGTTTACCAGGTAGCGATTTCACAACCTTCAGTTATGTCATATAATTGCCGTTTCATTTATGCGATTTAAACTTCTCCGTTTTATAATGCGATATCTCGCTTAGACACATCAACGGCTTATATTTGAATAGCTTAAAAACTATTTTTTAAGCGAACGGTTATGCCTCCAGCCCCACTTTTTAGCCCGATCGTTGTTGTTTTATTAGCAGAAATCTGCAAATTACCAACGGTGTGTACAAACAAAATAAGACAGTTTTGTTAAAAGAAATGTTAGCGTGCAGATGTCTAAGAATATTAAACTCAAGGCCAACAAAATCAAACATTGCTTTCTACCTCTGAAAATGCTCTACATTCTCACCGTAATCCGAATGCAAAGTAGACTTAGATGTAGTGTCTCTATGTATTATTCCTGAAACATAATGTTACTTCGAAACGTCTGGAACTTCTACTAAAACTGCTATGTGTTTTAGCGAAAGGAAAATAAATATATAATTACGCCCGAAACCCATATATGTGTGACCCTTGCCTGTTTTTTTCTGCATTAACATTATTTCAAAATTTGCGCATGAAATGATACTATTCCTATTTTTATGCAGCGCCTTTCAGATTCGCATGAAATGCGGCTGCATTACATTATCTATGAGAATCTTGATAATTTAAATTATAATTCTCTCTGAAATATCGGGCATAAGGTTTTGCGCATTGTATAAATATCAGAGTAATATCTAAGACAGTCTTCCTCCTGAAACCCTAGGAAACAACACCCGACTTGTTTATTATATGAAAGTTCCAGGTTCCATCATTAACTATAATGAAAAGAAGGAGTGTTTCAAGGTGATCTGATCAGAAGGAAACCGAGAGTATTCTGAGAAATCTCACGATCTTATATTTTCTTGCCGTTAGATATATTCCTTTTAACAAGCAGTTGGAGCACACCATTGGTTCTGAATATGTGGTCCGTGTGACGGAAGTAGGTCGGCGATCTCTGCGAGTCTACAGGTAAACACGTGTTCTCATTGAATACTACAAACTCTACTCTGTTAGTGCTATTTCGTAGTTGGTCGTTTATATGATCAGTACGAAATTTAACTTCTAGCCTACTTCTCTTATTCTATAGAAATAGAAATGCTTGCGTGTCGTCTTGTCATTTTTGTTTGCGTGTCGGATCTGTTTCTTTCTCTCTAATAATTATAAACAACTTAAGAGACTTGGGCGAAGCTTGGTTTGATTATCATAAAACTAGAGGCCAAAAACATTAATGTTTTAGATTTTTTACTGCCAGTAATATTAATATGGCGACTGTGCGATCTTACGAAATGGGAGCAACAAATTTGGAAAACTCAGTGTGGTAATACGTCTTAGAAAACTATGAAAAATTGCGTTAAGTTCAATTTTAATGAAACTAATTAAAATCAAATAAAAATATAAACGCCTTTAATCAATGTTAGTTTCTCATTGAATGAGACAATGAAACCAGTGGAGTCATTGATATTCTGATTTGCTTGTAATCGATTTTATTAAATTTTAATTGACATAATTTTTGTATCTTCAGCTGTAGTGTCCCGATTTTATATACAACAGATTGCAAAAAAAAAATAATAATAATAATTTATGTTGAGATAATTTTTTAATTAATAATAGTAATGAACTCATTACAGTTAATAAGCTATCTCAAACTTTGAGTATTTAACATATATTAATATTTTATATTTTTAATTTGTTAAATGAATGCTGGGAACGGAGCCGGGATAGCACAGTCGGTATAGCTACCGGCTACGGGGTGGACGACCGAGGTGTCGGTTTTCAAGTCCCGGTAGGATCAAGAATTTTCTCTTCTCCGCGTCGTCCAGACCAATTCTGGGGCCCATCCAGTCTCCTATCGAATGTGTACCGGGGGTAAGGCGACAGAGGCGTGAAGGTGACCACTCACCTCAAGCTGGTATCGAGGTTAAGAAAATGTGGATCTGTACATCCACTCCCTCATACGCCTTCATGGAGTAATACTTCATTAGTTAAACACAAAGGATAACTTTATTGCTTTAATAATGCTGGGAATTCAGTGTGCATGATACGTAGGAAACCAAGAATGTATCTATGTATCTGTTGTATCCAGCACCTCAGTTTATGCCGTCTTGCCACATGCTTGATTCACAAGATGTGCATGTCAGGAACAAGAACTGACGCTTTCCTTTCAGCATCAAACAGAACGCTGCTTGTGCTCAGCGGAGAGCTACTGGCCGATCTCTTAAGGCGCGTCCACATTACTCGTGCTCGTGCTCGTCGGGAGACTCGTCTGGCTTTTACTTGTGCCCGTAAATCTTCGTCCACACTATTTCAGTTGCTCTCCAGGCTTCGGCGCGTGAGGATCCGTATATTTACTCG